CGGCTGCCAGAGCTGCTGCTGAAAGACACGGGGACAGCCCCCGCCTCGCCGCCCCCGCCGTCCCGCCATCCATCCATCCGTCTGTCTGTCCATCCATCCACCCACCCGCCCGCTCCCACGGCCACGCTGCCCTCCCCGCTCCCCTGCAGGTGGCCCTGGTCGGGACCCCCATCCCACATCCCCACCCTGCATCCCTCCAGCCCCGGCTGCCCCAGGGGACGAGGGGCTCTGGTGGGTGCTGGGGTGGGAAGCACAGGGCTCGGCCGGCACCATGCTACGGGACAGAGCAGTGCTGTGCCCAGCCAAGCTGTGCCGGGGTGCCGACAGGCTCCGCACATGCCAGGGCTGCCTGGCAGGACCTGGCACAGAGAGGACCCCGGCACGGTAGGGTGTTTGTGGGGCGGGGGGGGGGGGGTCCCCCATCCCCCCCTCCCCACCAGCACGGGGAGCCCTGACTGGACATGGATCCCTGTCCCAGGACGAGCAGTGCAGCCCCGTGTCCTGCTGACCCCTGGCCTCTGCCCACGTTTCACCACGTACTTAGCAGGGACTTTCGGCACGGGGCGGGGGGGCTTGGCCACCCCCGCGCCTGGGTGAGGGATGGCCGACAGCTGGGCCGGGGAGAGGGGCCGGTAACCGGATCCCCCGGCAGCGGCGGCGGTGGCAGCTCGCGGGGTCCCGGGCGTGGGGTCAGCCACGGTGCGGAGGCAGGGGGTGAGGGACGGGCTGTGGCCCACGTCCCCGCTGGGCTGGAGACCCTGGGGTGGGGGGGTGGGCACGGGGTGCCTGGAGGGGACAGCCTGCCTGATGGGTCCATGCCACATCCACCAAGGCTGAAGGGTCCCGGGCTGTCGCCCACCCCAGGACGGGATGCCCTGCTCTGGGGGCGAGGGTGGGAGCAGAGGGGCTGCGGCCGCCTGCCCCAGCTGCGCGGCACGGCCAGGCACCGTCATTGCCGTGCAGGGGGGACAGAGAGGGACCAGGGCTCCCCAGCAGGACCAGGAGCTGTGGGGACATTCCGCCATCTCTGGGCCACCCCTCCGGGGGCACCTGGCCCCCCATCCCCGAGCCCTGTGCCATGGCCAGGGCCCCTCCGGAGCCGCTTTCCCGGGAGGGCTGGGACCAGCGGGAGCCGGCACCTGTTCCTCTGCCAGGAATAGGGGACGCAGCCACCCGGATCATGCTTGCAGCGCTTGGGTGAGGGGAGCGCGTCCTAGCCCCACACCGGGGGGGGGACCCCCATGCCGGGGGACCCCCGAGCCACCCCACACCGGCAGCTGGGCCTGGGGCCTCTGCACGCCCGACCCCGCCGCACTCCGGCAGCGGCCCAGATGGCTGCGATATTGTCCCCACAATAGCAGGCTAATTAGGCAAGCGCTGGGGAGTGGGGCGGGGGGGGCACACTGTCCCCCCCACCCCGCTCAGGCAATCAAAGGGCCTATGACTTTATTACGGCTCATTATGCGCGGGCGGCGGGGGGGCACGCAGGCTGCGCCGAGGCGACAGGCATGTTATTTCCCCATCACTCCTCATTGGGATTCTGGCACTGGCGGCGGCACGGGGGGGGCCGGGACATGCGCCAGGCAGCCGTGACGGTGATTAATCTGCTGAGCGCCCGCACAACTGCGCTCGGCCGAGGGGCTGCGCGCCCCCGCGCCGGCACTGCGGAGGAACGGGGGAGGGGAGGGGGCTGCATCCCCCCTCCCACAGCCCACCCCCACGCTGCACCCCACAGCCCAGCCACCCACCCCCCAGTGCTGCAGCTGCTCCCCAGGGCCACCCCCAGCACCCTGCATCCCCCACAGAGCACCCCATGGCTCAGCCCCTCCTCAGCCCCAGTGCTGCACCCCCCCCACGGCAGCAGCCCTGCAGGGGGGGGCACTGCTCTCCCCCCCCATGCAGCCACAATTCTAGGAGGTGCTGGTGGTGATGGGGGCTCAAGAGGGCCCCCAGTCCCTCCCACCCTGAAACCCCACTAGCGACCCCCAGCCCCAGCCATGCTCCCCTAGGATGGAGAAGGGACGCGTGGGACATTTTCCAGTTTTATTCAAAAAATAAACTCAAGCAGGAAGGGTATTAAGTTAAGGGGAGCGGGGCAGGGGGTGTGGGAGCAGGGCTGCGCTCCTGGGGGGCAGCACCCAGCCCCAGCCCCTACCTCCTCTTGTCCTTGATGCTGTAGTGCAGCAGGAGGGGCGCAGGCTGCAAAGCAAGGAGGGGGGTCAGGGCTGCCGGCACTCCCCCACAGGGCAGACACCCCATACCCCAGCCTGGGACCCCACCACGGGCAGGCGGGAGCAACCCCTCCCTGCAGGGCTGTCCCCAGGCAGCTTGGAGAGCCCCGGGGCTGCGCCTTGAACTTGTCCAACCCCTTCTGGGACCCATCACCCTCCTGACTCGTGGGGGAACCACGGGTCGGGGCGCTCGCGCTCCAGCGAGCGATATTAATCATCCTTGATTCACCGATTCCCTGCTCCGCCGCCGTGTCCTCAGCACAGTGCTGCCCCAAGCCAGCTCCTGGGGACGTTCCCTTCGCTGGACCCCGCTGAGCCCCCCAGCCCGGGATGGGGCCCCTTGGGGGAAAATCCCCCATGGCAGCGGGCGCCCATCCCTCTGCAGGATACCCACCTTGCCGAACCAGCGCGAGAGCCACAGCTGCTTCATCGTCATGTGGTCGGGGAGGGCCTCGTTGTTGAACAGGATCTGCACCTACACACAGGGAGGCTGCGTCGAGGGGGGGGGCCACGACCCCCACCCGGGGCCTGTGACCCCCACCCGGCCCCCACACTCACATGCTGCGGTGGCAGCCCCAGGCGGTGGCACAGGACGCTCCGCAGGTGCCGGATCTGCGCCCGCACCGAGCATCTCACGTACTTCTGCTGCAAGGGGCAAAGCGGGTCAGAGGGGTGCAGGTGCCCCCAGCCCCATGGGACCAGCACCGACACACGGTGAGGCCCCAGCCCCCTTCTGCTCACCCTGTTTGGGACCCCACACACCAAGCCGAGCCCAGAGCAAGGGCTGTGGGGCCAGGTCTGGGCAGAGCCCGGGGGCTCGGGGCCCGCTGAACTGGCAGGGCAGCCGCACAGACCCCCGCTCACCTGTAGCACGGCCTTGCTCTTGTCCTTGCTGGAGCTGTGGAGGGAAGAGAAGGGGCAGCCTGCCAGCTCCAGCACAGGGAGGTGGGGGGCTGCGGGCCATACCCCCTGCCCCTTCCCTGGGCACAGCCTGGTGCGGAGGTGCGGGCTGCCCTTGGCTGGTTGCCCCCCCCCCTCCAGTCACGCACGCACGGAGCCGGCGACGGCACCCCGGCCGGGGCTGGCAGCTGAGCTGCAGCCATCGATCCCATTACAGCCCCCAGAGCTGCCGCTTATTGACTTTGCTGTCGGAGCCGGCAGGCAGCTGCGCAGCGCCCGCTCCGGCAGCTATTAACACTGGCAGCCGCCGGGCAGGGCTGTGGCCTCGGGAGGGGAGATGACAGAGCGGTGGCAGCTCCAGAGGGGTGGTGGCACCCCAATGTTCCCCCTGGCTTGGCTGAGTCCCCTGTCTGCCAGGGCCACAGAGGTGGGAGCACGGGACACTGCTATGCCCGGTGCCAGCCCCGGCCCCCCTCCCCACCACGCCAAGGGGCAGCAGCTCCGCCGCATCCCGCAGCCCTTGTCTGCGCCGCCAGCACTCACCTCTGCTTCTCCAGGCAGAGCGAAACGTGCTCGTCGTAGCGGAAGTAGTGGGCACGGGAGTGATCGAAGGTGCTGTAGGGGAGCCCCATGGGGTCGCCCCCAACCGTGTCTGGGGAGATGTGGGGAGGGGGCAGGAGTCAGCCCGCCTCTGTCCCGCAGGCACTGCCTGACTGCCCCAGCCGGCTCCCGGAGACACACCACAGTGAGACAACCCCCACTCTGACCCCATTCCCCCCCTGGCTGGTTGCCCTCAGGCCCCTCCACGTGGACCCCAAGCGTGCCCACCCTCATTGCTGGGCTGTGTCACCCGGTCGAGGCCGCGGGACTGGTAGAACTCCCGGATCCTCTTCTCTTCACCTGCGGGCAAGAGAGTGACACTGGTCAGGGACACCCCCTCACCCCATGTTCCCCCCCAGCCCATCATGGCTTCCCACCCCGCAATGCCCAGAGGTGAGGGTCCCCGGGCTGCCCCCAGCCCATCCTGCTGCTCCAACCTCGGCTTGGCAACGCAACCAACCGCCAGCGGCTCTCGTTCCACCAGAAGCTGAGACCCCCCTTCCCTATTTGCCTCCTCCATGCCCCTGGGGGTCTCCACCAAGCCCTGCTGCGGGCCGGGGGGGGGGGCCCTGTTCCCGTCCCCATCCCTGCCTACACAGGCACATCCCTGCTCTCATCATGCCTCACACCTTTACCCACTTTCCCCCTCTCTGCTGCAGTGCAGGGGACCAGGGCCCATGCTGCATGTTTGCTGTGCCCCCCCATCCAGCCCAGGCCTCCATCGCTCCGTGGCAGTGCCCAGCGCCCCGCTGCTGCGCGGCAGGCTGACATTTCCACAGAGGTGTCCCCAGTGCCGTCCCCATCCCCACCCTGAGTGACAGTGGCTAATCTCGAGCCCACCGCTGCGCCTGCGGCACGGGGGCTGCCCTCCCCGCGCACTGCTTTGCATTCACCACCACCGACCGTCAGTTCATCACGCCGTCACTCAGCGCCTGGCCCCAGGGACGCTGCTCGCGGAGGCAGCCCTGGCTTGCGCAGCTCTTGTCTCCACAGCCCAGCCCCGCTGTGCTGAGCACAGCCAGCTGCTGGAGCCCAAGCACCAAGAGCGGGGAGCTGAGCTAGTTAAAGACACCCCAGCAAAGCACCCATCTCCCTGGCTCCCTTCCCCACCCCAGTCCCTGAGCGCAGTGGCCCAGCTCTTGGAAGCCATGGCCACTCCATCCGCCGATGGAGTGGACAAATGGCCACATGGCCGAGGAGAAAGTACAAAGCCCCAGCACCAGCACAGCCAGAGCGTCCTGTGGGTTCCCGTACCTGAACCTCCCAAACCGTCCGGTACCAGTGCCTCACCCCTGCCTCGCCTGGCTCCCCGTCCCTCAGCAGCCCCGTGTGCTTCCCAGGCATGGTCCCCACAGCCCCCTGACATCTGCCTCCACAAGCAGAGGCCATTTGTCCTGCCTTTTTCCTCACTCTACAACCAGTTTCACATGGTAAGATGCCCCCCTGCCATCTCTTCCCGGCAGGCTCTAGCAGCCACAATGGATGTGGTCAGCAGCATTTTGAAGACCCTGACCCACACACAGAATCTCACACACTCAGTAGACAGGTGCCGCTCGAAATTGTCTGGTTCTTCCCGGTGTCCTTCCCCTCACAGCTTCTCCCGACATCGCTCTGCAAGACACTGGTGCCAGGGACACCAGATCCTGCCCACCCTGCCGGGGACACTCACTCTCCTGCAGGCCAGGCACCAGCTTGTAGACGATGTCCTGCATGACGCGGTCCAGCTTGAGGTTGAGCAGTGGCTGCGTCTCGTGGATCTTGGTGTTGCACATGGGGCAGTACTTGCTGGTCTGCAGGTACTTGACGATGCAGCTCTTGCAGACTGTGGCCACAGGGAGGGTGCGTCGGTGGAGGGGGGAGTCTGGGGCGGTGGCACAGCCCCAGACCCCCAGACACCCAGCGGGACATGTCCCCCTGGGGCCCCAGGCAGAAGCCACGGTCCCGGGGCAGCGCTGGACCTGCCAGCAGGCAGGGGAGGCTCTGCCGGCCCGTGCCCAGGGGGACCCCACAGGACCCTGCACCCCTAGAGCCGGGCAGGCAGCTGCCGCCACCGCGCGGGGACTCACACGTGTGCAGGCACTCGGTGATGGTGGTGGCGTCGATGAAGTACCCGGCGCACAGGCAGCACACGATGTGCTCGTTCAGCTCCTTCATCTTCACCTTCACCTCCTCCTGTGGAGACACGCCACCGTCACCCGGCCCCTGCCCGCCGGGCTGCGGCACCCTGCGGGGCAACCTGCACCGCTCGGCCGTGCCGCCCCAGGCTCTCGCCCTCCGCAGCAGCCCCCCGCCCGCCCCACGGTCAGCAGGAACCCATGGGGACACTGGGGCAGGTCCCCCAGGGACAGCACGGCAGTGAGAACACAGGGCTGGGGGCAGCTCCCACCCAGCACGGGTGGACGGACCCCCCAGGGCGACATGAGGAGACCCAGCTCCTGGGGCAGTGACCCCAAGAGCCACCCCGGGCCCCTGCTCACCCACGGCCTGGCTGCACGGCCCAGCCTCGGGGCCCGGAGCGGAGCTGCCACCGTGACAGGGTGGGGGGAAGGGGCTGACCCCTCTCCTGCTGGG